TGGTTGTGCCACGCTTTGCAGCAACAACTGCAATCAAGTGTTTGCGATAACTGGCAATGAGTCTTTCACATCGCTGTGGAGGAATTCTGGCCCACTCTTCTTTGCAGAATTGTTTTAATTCAGTCACATTGGAGGGTTTTCGAGCATGAATGGACTGTTTAAGCATCTCAATCGGATTTAAGTCCGGACTTTGATTTGGCCACTCCAAAACCTTAATTTTGTTTCTCTTGAGCCATTCAGAGGTGGACTTGCTGGTGTGATTGGGATCATTGTCCTGCTGCAGAACCCAAGTGCGCTTGAGCTTAAGGTCACAAACTGACGGCCGGACATTCTCCTTCAGGATTTTCTGAGAGTGCAGAATTCATGGTTCCCTGTATTGGGCCCGCTTTTGCTGCCAAAACAGCCCTGATCCGTTGAAGCATGGACTCCTCTAGACCCCTGTATCTGGCACCAAGTTGTTAGCAGCAGATCCTTTAAGTCCTGTAAGTTGCGAGGTGGGGCCTCCATGGATCGGACTTGTTTGTTCAGCACATCCCACAGATGCTCGATTGGATTGAGATCTGGGGAATTCGGAGGCCAAGTCAACACCTCAAACTCGTTGTTGTGCTCCTCAAACCATTCCTGAACCATTTTTGCTTTGTGGCAGGGGCATTATCCTGCTGAAAGAGGCCACAGCCACCAGGAAACACCGTTTCCATGAAAGGGTGTACATGGTCTGCAACAATGCTTAGATAGTTGGTGCGTGTCAAAGTAACATCCACATGGATGGCAGGAACCAAGGTTTGCCAGCAGAACATTGCCCAAAGCATCACACTGCCTCCGCCGGCTTGCCTTCTTCCCATAGTGCATCCTGGTGCCATGTGTTCCCCAGGAAAGCAATACACACGAACACGGCCATCAATGTGATGTAAAAGAAAATGTGATTCATCAGACCAGGCCACCTTCTTCCAATGCTCCGTGATCCAGTTCTGATGCTCACGTGCCCACTGTTGGCACTTTCAGCTGTGGACAGAGGTCAGCATGGGCACACTGACTGGTCTGCCTCTATGCAGCCCCATACGCAACAAACTGTGATGCACTGTGTATTCTGACATTATAACTTTACAAACTAAAAAAATTTATGAATAAATAAAAAATAACAGACAAGCATGTATGTTCTTCCATAAAAAATTTGACACGAAAAAATGCTTCATGCTTGCCTGAATGATGTTACTGGGGTTGTTCTCCGAGTCTGTCTGGTCATCCTGCTCAGATGAATCTGTCTCCTCCAATGACTGAAGCTCTAGTTCAGAGGGCAGCAGTGTGCTGAGGTAAGGGATGGCGCTCGGCTTTGATGAGATTACTTATTACACACAGACAGATGAATAAACACTAGAAAGTCAAAAGGGCAGTCAAAGTATAATAGGACAGAAAAACTCACAAGGGAATGCACTGATGTCATCCTTAAAAAGGCTTTGCGTCTCTCCTGTCTTGGCCATGAAGCGTGTGAGTGCGCGCTCCACATCTCTCCTTTGTGATGCCGCCTTCTCTCTCACCACCTGGTACTCTGACACAGGCTCTCGAAAGGTCTAAAACACAGAAATGTGAGATATGTTTTGAAGCAGAATGTATGCTCTTAATGTTATTGGTTGTTAAGTTGAAAGTCACACAATAGCAAGGCATCAGGTGAGCAACATAACTCACTGGTGTTTTGATGTATGTATGAGGATCTGGGAATTCAGGGAAGTGGCTGGGGATGTATGTTGGATGAGTGCGCTTCTGTCCGGCCATGAGGGCTTTTGGGATGACTGGGGCATTTGTTACTGGAGCTGTTAAATATAGAAGAGTACATTTAAATAACAATTATAACAGATAATATAAGATAAATAGATATATTAGTGAAATATGGTAAACCTACGTGCAGTTATGACCATCCTTTGGGATCTTTTGGCGTACACTGGAAGAGTATCCACATTAAAACCTGCGATTGTGGAAAAAGTAAACCTCAGAATTAGTTAAAATACTATTAACATATGGACATGATTCAACCCCATAGAGAAGTGGAATCTTTTATACTTCCTAAGATTAAATATATTGATCAAAGGGCAACCAACCCATTTCGACCAGTGTGACGACCACATCAGAGAGTGTAGGGGTGCTCCTAGCTGTGTGCTCACAGGTTGCTTTCGCACAACGTCCAACCTCAGTTATATCTATCAAAAGATAATGAGACTCTTAATATTGAAAAACACATACAATAAACTCGTGTTCATTCTAAAACACATAAAATATATATATAATTTTTTTTTGGACAAGCCTCACAGGTGTCTTGCATGAGATAAGGGAAGGACTCACAGCTCTGCATCATCTCAGTGAGTGTCTCCACCGCCACTTTCTCAGCGCTCTCGAAGCCACACTCCGTCAGCAGAGAGCTGACCACCACCTGCAGTGTGCGTCTCCGAGCCAGCTGATAGTTCTCTGTAGGACTTGTGCTGGTCTTACTGCTCCCCGAGCGCTGCAATTATTAATCAAAAGAACAGAGTATTAAAGATCAAGATGTCCAATTGCAAATGTTTGACTCTCTCAAAACCAAGTTTTGGTTGCTGCTACTTATGGCTCTAATCAAAAAGTTGAAACTAGTATAAGATGTTTTGCTGGTCTTCCAGCCTGGTCAGACTGGGAGACCTGTTTAAATCAGCTAAGACCTTTTCAGAAATAGTGGTGGTTGCCGACTTTTGGGCATCATAAGTGTGTTCCAACAGCATGTCTGACCATATGATGGCCATAAAATAGTGTTCAGGTAGGGAAGATTTGGTTTGAGACTTTATGCTGACAGACACTGAACTGTTTCTAGACAGCCTCACTACATTTATTATAAGGGCCATTATATATTTACGCATAACATAATAAAAAAGACCGGTGTGTTTGCATATAAAACAACGTCTACTTTTAAATATATGACAGTTCTTCCCTTAAATGTGCCTTATATTTAAACAAACCCAAACCCATAAATTAGTGTTTGGCTAAGCTAGCAGACTGTAGGCAATAAAAATGAAAGGAGATATTTACGCTTCCTGAGTTTAAAGATCCGCTCCCCATCACTACAGAGTCTGCCATTTTTTAACTTTAGTGTTTTTTCCTCTGGTGTTTAGCACTCGCACATAAACTCATTGTGCGCTCTGCATTCCCTAATAACTGTATTGGACGTTTAAATATTTGGTGAAAATGGCAACCCTATCAAAATTTCCAACACAGGGCCACCGGAAGGTTGTTGTTTTCTGCGCGTTTCCAAAATAAAAGTCAAAAAACCTCGCAGGCCTATGGAGTGGGAAAAAACATTGAAATATAAAGATTAGAATTGTGTGTGTTATCTTTAACGTCATTTATGGGACATATTGCACTCCTAAAAATTGAGGGGGGAATCGAATTTTTGCAGATATAAACTGCTTCAAAATATTGCAGAAATTGTTGTCTGGATGCCTTTGACTTGAACCCAGGCCCGGTTCTGTGGGGGTGCTATAGGGTGCTGAGCACCCTCAAACGAAATTAATAGCACCCTCGGTTAATGCTGTAATAATGGCATTTCATTGCAGATTTGGCAAACTATCCAGTGCTTTATGGTTTGCGCTCTGCAGATTGGTTTCTATTTCAACATCGTTTGCAGCGTTGAGCAATGTAGCCAATCACAGACATATCTGTTGATTTCTTTAACCCAACAGCCAATCAGAGGCATTTAAGTTAGAATCCACTCACCGCTCAAATCGCCACAGTTTTAGTTCTGGTGTTGCGTTCAGCACGAATCATCTCATTATAACAAAGTGTAGACGCTATATAAATAAGAGATTCAGCATAGAGAACTTTGATTATAACGTAACTTTGTGAGATCCGATTAACTAATATGAGTGACAGCTTTTAGTGATTATAAAGGGAAAGCGCTTGCGCCATTGCCATGGATGGCACAAATATATGAGATATATCGAGAGAGCACCCTCACTAATTTAAGAAGCACTCAGTGATTTGATTCTGGAGCCGGGCCTGCTTGAACCACAACACGTGGGAAGCGTTTCTCCTCCATTCATGTTTAAAAAGCCTGATTAAGAAACTGTTTATGTGAAATATTCTAAAATGATTTACAGTAACTGAGAAAGATTTGCTAATTTATTTTATTGGTTTGAACCATGGTTTGAACAGAAAAGGGTGCTATACACATAGTTATGAAAAACCAAACCAAACCACGGCCTAATTAGAATGCCAGACACTTTCTTACAGAAGGATTCTCGTCCTGTTGGATCAAAAAGGAAAACAGTAAAACCACCCTTCAGTATAGAACATCTACTGTATAAACTCTTGGACTTTTACATGCATTAATTATTAAATATAATTTTGTTTAGTTATCATTAAGAGCTACTTTAAAAAGTAAAAAAAAATTATATTATTTAGTGTTTCATTCTGCTTTGTAAAGACTAGAAATCATGATATTAATTGTAACTATATTTCATTATATACTATATTTCATTATTATGTATTTTCAGCCATAGTTTTAAACAGTATTAAAAAACGTGCATAGTTTTGTAAAGTTGCACTGAATCAAATTGCCAAATTTACACTGCTATCTTTAAACAAAGTGTGTAATGCTGTTCAGAGGTGGCGTAAATGCGTAGTGATTTTACCTGTATACCTTTATACTAGGGGCTGAGGTGGGTCAAAGCAGGTTTAGTCTGGTTTTAATGTGGCAGTATGTCTTTACACAACCTCTTGTAAATATGCCTTAAGTGTACTCTAAAAGTCTGTATAAAAATATGCTTAATATTAAAACACCGTAAATATTTTCCAGATAGTAGCCTGTAACATCAAGCTGGTATGCAAAATTGAACTCTATTCAAGAAATATATAAGTAACTTTATATTTAATATACTTTATAAATCATAAGGGTCTCCCTTGCTAGCGGAGAACGCATTTGGGTCCCCTTAAAGTTTGAAAACCCGTTTTCCAGTGCAAGGTTTAGTTCACGGGCATTTATTCTGAAAGTTGGTGCAGCATGCGGCCATCACGCTGGCGTCGCTATTTTCAACTGCCTCACTAGCTAAAGCCACACTCATTACGTCTATAATCGCAACGCTAGATTGTTGTCTTGGTTTCCCAGCCTCGATTCCTTACCGATGAGGGACTTTCGGCCCGACTGACACAGGGAGATGGGGGTACACAATATTTCAGACCAGGTGAGAGCTATTAAAACCCCACGCGTGGCGTAAATCAAGCAGTTTTGTTGTTCGCTCTCTGCGCTTGTATGCAGAGCCTGAAATGCTAGCTAGCTCCCTGACGATGGATTATCCTATTTCCCCCATAGTTCTCGCATCAAAACTTGGGGTTTTGTGATGCATTTAGCTGTACACCTCATGTATTTACTGTATAATAAGGGTAGGGCTACCAAAGAGGAGTTAAAATGGAAAAATAACCCTTTTAGCACGCCCAGACGTTAGCCAGCCTGCTAGCCTAATGAGCTGGGTGTTAGCCAGCCGCATAGGAAAACATCTATTGTGTGTTTTTGTTTTTAAAACGCACACGTTTATTAACCTATTTAACAAATACTCATGCTTTTGTTAAGTAATGTCTTTATATAACAATAACAACTGCAATGTGTTTTGTTGCAGCTCTCTTCTGATACTCAACGATCATTATATTTGATGATAATCATACAGTTATCCACCTCATAATTGACACTTAAAGTTATACACTGTAATCAGAAGCTGCTCGAGCAAAAGGTTTGAATTTGTTGTCATGTTTCATAGCAGTATCATAACGTCCACCCCTTTTTTTCCCCCCTCCTTCAGCCGCCTCTGGTCCAGGCCATATTTAACCGAAATGCGGATGAAGTGAAGTTATTTTTGCACAAGAAAGATGAAGTCAATGCACTGGTATGTTCTGAGTGGTAGTGTGAGCATGAATTATGTGTCTCATCTGCATGTGCAATGTCATAACTATGGACAGATTGTCCGGGTGACTGTACATATGAGCTGTGTGGGCCAGTGTGGAAATCTGTTAACCTTTTTTTCTACTTTCTTGTGTCAGGACCAAGAGCGCCGCACACCTCTTCATGCTGCTGCCTGGCTGGGGGACGTTCATATAATGGAGCTTCTCATCAGCGCAGGTATGAAGTTAAACAGCAGTGCTGCCACCACATGCAGTTATGTTTTTATTTAGAAACAGATAGTTCCAGTATCAAAAGCTGATTGGTCAATACAGCATTAAAGCCTTGTTAAAATGCACAAAATAGTAACATTTATGGCATGTCACACCCGTTCGCCTACATACGGTTTATATTAGGGTTTACCAAATGGGGGTTCAAGAGTTAATGAAAAGCTAATAATTAACTAAATCAAATGTAGCATTAAAATAAACAAACATGCAGCACAATTAAAGTAAAACTGAAATAATGGTCTTATCAAATCGCATTTATCAAATCAAAGGCTCAGATTTAATGAAACAAGTTACATAGTCTGTTGCACTGCGTGTTTCAGAGTGAAGAATAGCACTGTGATCATTTACACACATGCAGCTTATAATACTGTTGTTTCAGGAAATGCGTCTTCACACAAACTCCATCTATGCACTAATGTATAATTGGGAACCAATGTACAGTTTATTTGTATTCGTATTAGACGTTTACAGCATTTCACTAATATAAAATTAATGGATTTGACATTTTAAAATCTTTATGGTTTGAAAGTGAAGAATTTAAGACATTAATGTTTGTGTTGTAACTTGTAACTTTTCATTAGCAGTAGAGTCTTTATTCTTTGTGTCTGGATGTCTTGGCAGTAGACATTTTCATATTCAATGAGTCATAATTCAAATTGCAATAAATGACAGAATAATCACAATATATATATTTTTCGTGCAGCCCAATTTTAAAATAAAACAATCAAAACATTTACATTTGTTTACTTGTCATGTGACCATTAACTGACATTAGAGAACTGTGAATGTTCTAATGTGTCAAAGATATGAAATATTAACTTATGTATTTTTTGACATTTATTTTAGGCAGTACTGCAAGTAAATGTTTTATGTCTAAGAGATTTGGTTGACCAAAAAAGGTTTAGGCACCACTGGTCAATATAACACTACACAGCAGCTGCCAACTGTGTACAAAACCTTTAAAGCTGTTTCCTTTTTGCCCTTCTAATGAACCAAATCCTGTTCCGTTTAGTTTTAGAGGATAAGCAAGCAAATATGTAGTGACTACAGTGCTAAGTTCTCAGTAGAATGTCTGCTGGGGAAAAAAGAATATTTAGAATTAAATTTTTACTTTGGCTCAACCAAGGGTGTGAATTGGACCCGTTTGATGATAATCATTATTTATACAATTTGCTGCCGCTAATGGTGCAGAAATTACACACTTCACCCTAGATTAATTTACTAAATGTTTTATTTATTAACTGTCATATATAATTATTATGGTGTGAGAGGCTCTGCTTTATGGTGTATAGCTACGCAGCAGCGCTATACACCATAAAGCAGAGCCTCTCAACCCATAATGCTTATATATGACTTATATATACTTTTATACAACAGTTCGTTCTGGTTCTCAAATCTGATTGGTTGAGAACCATGAGATATTGTACCGGTATTGCTACAGGAACGCTTTTTCACAATTTTGTATCTCTCCACTTGTTCTAGCCAGGTCTAGGTTTTTTTTTTTTAATTGTTCACTGAGCTAATTGTAGAGTAGGTTAGTTAATATAAGAAGAATCGTCTAGCTTCGCGGTCTCTCTCTCTCATTTGGATGCACATCTTGCCGCATTGTTTCTCTCTAATAACCTCATTATTTCTCACTAATTACCTAACTGAAGCAGCACAAGCCCTTGATACGAATTCTAAAAGTGACGTATGTTTAACTGTCAACTTGAGCTTTGAATCCGTGGCGGAAGGAAGTAGTTCCGCACAAAAGAGGGTTTTATTAGGCACTCCGTTTTTTCTTGTTTAATTACATGCATGTTCCGTCGAACTGTTGTATAAACGCAATATCACTCGAGTACTCGAGCGATACCGGCTCTATATCAGCGGCTATGATTGCCCGCGGCCTCGTGCCTCTGGCCTAATCACAGCCATGCTGATATAGAGCCGGTATCGCTCTCGTACTCGAGTGATATTGCTCATATATTACAGACATGCCACACCCTTTAGCCACGAATGAATTCACAATGTAGAATGACATGTTTTACTTTATTGCTTAAGTATTAGTCATTTATTAACTTTAAATCAGTTTTTCTTCCTTTTTTTTGGTTCACCTAACTGCATAGGTGCGAATGTCAATGCAAAGGACCATGTGTGGCTAACACCATTGCACAGAGCAGCTGCTTCCAGAAACGAGGTAAGCAGCCTGTGTGATTTATATGCCTGAGTGGAGGCTCAATCTGAGTAACGGCTTACTCATGCCATTGTTTAGCATTTTTAGCAATCTAATATGATTCATGCATTGTTTTGTTTTTTACCCAGAGGGCTGTGGGGCTGCTGCTAAGGAAGGGAGCTGACGTTACGGTGCGGGATAAATTCTGGCAGACACCACTGCACATTGCGGCGGCCAACCGAGCCATGCGTTGCGTCGAGGCCCTGCTGGCCCATGTGACCAGCCTGAATATGGCCGACCGCACAGGCAGAGCGCCCCTGCATCACGCTGCTCAGAGTGGATACCAGGAGGTAGGGTGGAATTACTCATCTAATGCACTCAGGTGAATTAAAAGACAGGGTGGGCCACTTCAGCTCTCGACATCTTTTTTTTTTTTTTGCTCTCCACAAGATTGCGAAAGTGCAAATTGCCGAAGAGCCTCGAATACAGATACTTCTGTTTTGATGTAATTTTTTATGTAACCTTCACTGCATTTAGTCTTTATTTGGAACTCTTTGTATAGTTGTCACAATATCAAATGTCAGTATTAGATGCCAGTACATTATAATTATAATCTTAAAATGTAGTAATTTAAATATTTTATAATATCTCTGTATTTTTAATATTTAACATTAAAAATTGGAGATAACCGCACATTTAGTGCAGTCACAATAATTAAAATATTTCATAATATTTCTATTTTTTTTAATAAATTAAATATTTGAGAAATCCACACATTTTTTGCACAGTAATTTTAATTTTATAATATTCCTATATTTTAAATTTTCAATATTAAATATTTGAGAGAACCATATGTTTTGTGCACAGTCCCAATTTAAATATTTTAACACATTTGTATATTTTTAATATTGTATATAATAAACATTTTAAATATAATTGTCAATATTTACAATGCCTTTAAGGAGTGAATATGAATAAATTGTGTATTAAACTTATACTGTAGATAAAATAGTTATTAGCAAAAAATTGTGACAGCAGTATGTTATTGCTTTAAGTGCTTTTAGTACTTGATACGTACTTGAAAAAAAAAAAAAAGTATTATTACTAGGGACACACCAATTCCACCTTTTTCAAAACACGGCCAATACTGATACTTTTATTTTTGGTATTTGCCGATACCGCGTACCGATACCTGTATTTTCATGCCATTTGTAATTTAAAAAAATACTGGGTACAGAAACCAAAAGAATATGAGTAATGTTAGTTGGCTTTGTTAATTTAGCAAATAGATATTTTCTTCAGGTATTTTCACAATTATGCCCATTAAATTAATTATGCCCATTGTTACTTTCACTGTTCGTTTTATTGCTTTATCGTATTTCATCTTTAATTTAATAGCACATTCGAGCTGCTCCATTGTAGTGGCTCAGTGCTGTAATGAACCATTCGTTATACATAAATCTTGTAACAGCAATTAACATATTTCTGATTGGTCCAAATGCTACATTGTCAATATTTACAATGCCTTTAAGGAGTGAATATTAATAAATTGTGTATTAAACTTATACTGTAGATAAAATAGTTATTAGCAAAAAATTTTGTGACAGCAGTATGTTATTGCTTTAAGTGCTTTTAGTACTTGATACGTACTTGATAAAAAAAAAAAAGTATTATTACTAGGGACACACCAATACCACCTTTTTCAAAACACGGCCAATACTGATACTTTTATTTTTGGTATTTGCCGATACCGCATACCGATACCTGTATTTTCATGCCATTTGTAATTTTAAAAATACTGGGTACAGAAACCAAAAGAATATGAATAATGTTAGTTGGCTTTGTTAATTTAGCAAATAGATATTTTCTTCAGGTATTTTCACAATTATGCCCATTAAATTAATTATGCCCATTGTTACTTTCACTGTTTGTTTTATTGCTTTATCGTATTTCATCTTTAATTTAATAGCACATTCGAGCTGCTCCATTGTAGTGGCTCAGTGCTGTAATGAACCATTCGTTATACATAAATCTTGTAACAGCAATTAACATATTTTCTGAAATATAAGTGTAGTTTTTTTATTATTGAAACGTGCTGTGACTTATATTCCAAAGCCACTCATTTAATGCTATTAAGGAAAATTAAGCTATTAATCTTATCAAGCAAGCAAAACATGCGCAAGTGCATGAATGAGAGAGACACGTACGGGCTGTTAGTTTCACTTTCGCTTTAAGTAAAGACGTGTATGCTTGAGGTTTAAAATAAATGTTGCTTATAGTGAATGCACCTATCATTTTTGAATGTTTTATATTTACAATTTAGTTTTAATCCAAACGATCTGTGTTCTAAGTGAGCGAACAGCAATCAAGATGCAACTTGATCAATCATCATGCAGCAGAAGTGCCCATGCTCTCTCTCTCTTTCTCTCTCTCTCGCGCTCCGCTCCCTCTCTCTCTCCTTACCATCAAGTAACTTAAGTAACCTGTGCATTGTTTTACTTACTTGCTTTTGACATATCCGACTGAATAACATTGGTTAGTTTCCAGTGATGTCTATGAGAAAGGGATATTCATTCAAATCTCACGCATCTGCGCCACCGCGCGCTCAATCCATTCAGCGTGCTCTGCTTATCAGCTCACGCACAGCTATACAGGCATGAATATTGAATGTTTAACATTGTATTAATTACATACATGTACTTCATAGATATCCTTAATCTCTAATAACTCCATTCTGCTCTCTATGTTTTATATTTACAATTTAGTTTTAATCCAAACGATCTGTGTTCTAAGTGAGCGAACAGCAATCAAGATGCAACTTGATCAATCATCATGCAGCAGAAGTGCCCATGCTCTCTCTCTCTATCTCTCTCTTTCTCTCTCTCTCGCGCTCCCTCTCTCTCTCCTTACCATCAAGTAACTTAAGTAACTTGTGCATTGTTTTACTTACTTGCTTTTGACACATCCGACTGAATAACATTCGTTAGTTTCCAGTGATGTCTATGAGAAAGGGATATTCGCTCAAATCTCACGCATCTGCGCCACCGCGCGCTCAATCCATTCAGCGTGCTCTGCTTATCAGCTCACGCACAGCTATACAGGCATGAATATTGAATGTTTAACATTATATTAATTACATACATGTACTTCATAGATATCCTTAATCTCTAATAACTCCATTCTGCTCTCTGTTGTTGTTGTCAGTGTTTCTTTCTCTGGACACAGCATTGTTCACATGCTGTTTAACTTGGTACTGAAATACCAGTACGTTTAACTTCCTTAGTTCCAGTTTGTTTTTACATCTCGGCCTGTACATGTTAAAACTGTGATTTTGCTTTTTTGTTAAGTTCTCAGGGGTGCCTTTAATGCACAGATGGTTTTAATAAACATACAATGTGACTTTGTGCTTTTGCTGCCAACTAGATGGTTAAATTGCTGCTGAACAAGGGAGCCAATCTGAGTGCCAGTGACAAGAAGGACAGGCAACCCATTCATTGGGCAGCTTACATTGGTAAGTATATACTTGTATTTTTTGGAAGTGTTGTTGGTGTTTTCTATAGCTAAATAGTAATTTTCCTTGTATTACATTGGTTTCACCATCTTTAGCTACTTAGTGGTGATTCCTGGAAGTTGTAGTAATACCAAAGACTTTTGAATGGGGGAAAAATGCAACGCTCAGTATGGCCGCTCTATTGAATGATGCCCCGCCTTCTGAGTAAAAGTGCCAATCACTAATCGGTAAAGTTCTCGCGTCACTGCAGTTGACGTTAGAAATCCCGGTTGCTATAGAAACGGTCAGCGTTCGGAGACGTGCGCTTAGGACTGCGCATGTGCACTGGCTGGTCTAGCCTGAAAAATAGTATTTTTTTTAAACGCTATTTGAGCAAAAGAAACAACATTTATGAGACAGTTGTTGTCAGATTTCATTGGTGAATTCAATTATAAAATTGAATCATAAGTTTGGCGCACAGTTCTGGAGAATTTGATGTTCCCCATTCAAAGAGATAGGAGCTGCGCTTGCATACCCAAGAGGCGTTTCAAAGATGGCCGCCGAGTGAAATGACTTGCCTTAAAGGGACTTTGGTAATACTAACCTGTTCATTTCTCTCAGGACATCTGGAGGTGGTTAAGCTGCTGGTGTCTCAGGGCTCGGATAAGAGCTGTAAGGATAAGCGGGGATACACCCCTCTTCACGCTGCTGCTGCCAATGGCCACGTCGATGTGGTCAAGTACCTGTTACGCAATGGAGCCGAGGTCAGTGCCAGGCCTCAACATTAAGCTTTTCCACTTGTCTTTTGGACAAGTAAAAGTCATTTGTTTTTTGTCCAAATATAAAGTGTCTGGATCCCAGATCACTTTAACAATACGTCTTTGACTGATTAAAAATACTACCAATATGGGATAAGGCATCAGAAATATGAAGTCAACTGTATTCAAACATTGTGTTTGGACAGCATGATCTTTTAATCCAGATAAATTTCCCTAGTGACTATTCGTCCCTAGGACATGGGTCAAAAATGATTGTAATGTAGTGTTTTTACACAAGAATAATTTTTAAAAGAACATATCTTAGGCCAAAAAGTGAATCGGATGTCCCTGGATTTGGTCTACTTTAGTCATGATAGTTCATTCACACTGTTGGTTTCTGGAACCCACCTCATATATATATAACTATTGTCATAATATAATTTTAATATAAAAATTTTTGGCAGGTTTTTGAACGAGTTGTCAAAAAATAGGATCAGTATTAGATATGTCATAGCCATGACCCATGATTTTGTACTTGCAAGATGGTGGCAAAAATCTGTAGTGCAGAATGAGTCCTCAATATTTTTGGTCTATTTTCCTGGAAAAAAAAAAAGATTGATCCTTGGTTTACTGGATATTTTATTTCATGCTGTCTGTTTCTCAGATTGATGAGCCTAATGCCTTTGGAAACACTGCTCTCCATGTGGCCTGCTACACGGGACAGGAGGCCGTAGCCAACGAGCTGGTCAACCGTGGGGCCAACGTCAACCAGCCCAACCACCGCGGCTACACGCCCCTGCACCTGGCTGCCGTGTCCACTAACGGGGCTCTCTGCCTGGAGCTGCTGGTCAACAACGGTGCTGATGTCAACATGCAGGTCTGGACAGGGAAACGGGAGTGGTTTATTAAGACATTGCTCTGATTGAATGATCTATATGTATTTGACTTGAATTTTTGTATACTTTCTCAATGTTTTTAAGCTTTAGGAAGAACTTTTCTTAGATAATTATTAGGGATGCACCGATATGAAAATTTTGGCCGATACCGATAACCGATTATTCTTTATTTTTGAAAGCCGATAACCGATATGTTGGCCGATAAATCTATATCCAAATTGTTATTTTCTTCTCCACAGAGTAAAGAAGGGAAAAGCCCTTTGCACATGGCAGCCATTCATGGACGTTTCACTCGCTCTCAGATTCTCATTCAAAACGGTTGGTTACTTTCCTTTTTCACTCGATTTCCAATTCCAATTCAATATTTAAACTAGGGCTGCACGATAAATCACATGCGATATTTAATGCGCATCTTGTCAGAAAGCCTGTTCTGTAATCAGCGGTAAATCTCCATCACGTGCGTGCTTTCACATTGAGCAGCATTAACTACACAGAGCCGTTGTTCACTGATGAGCTGCGCAAAAAATCGTGCGAATATGAACGTGGTTTTGCGCCGCTCGTCAGTGAACAACGGCTCTGTGTAGTTAATGCTGCTCAATGAGAAAGCACGCACGTGATGGAGATTTACCGCTGATTACAGAACCGACTTTACTGATAAGATGCGCGTTAAATATCACATGCGATTTATCGTGCAGCCCTAATTTAAACCCTTTAAATGTTGTCTCCTCAGGTGGGGAGATAGATTGTGTGGACAGATATGGCAATACTCCTCTTCATGTTGCTGCCAAGTACGGCCACGAGCTGCTTATCAGCACCTTAATGACAAATGGTGCTGACACAGCCAGGTAAAGTACCATGTGTTTGTTGAGTAAGACTTGCTTTGTAGTGAGTGGAGTAAGGTCATCTCTTACAATATAGCAATTGCATAATGTCTCTATCATACAATCTTAAAGCAAATTTTGTGGCAGTGAAGCAGTGTTATTTTAGTATTAGTTATATACAATTATCATATATTCTGTTAATGTTTCAAATTATCTTTTATATTTTCAGTTTTTATTAAAATTTTGGTAAAAGGTTATGTATTTTTCTTTCTTTTTTTATATATATAGATTTTTTTTTTTCCATTTTTAGTAGTATTAGTATTGCTACTTGTTCAGTTGACAAGACAAAGCCTAATTTAACATTTATATTTTATTTTAGCTTTATTTCAATTATCGAAAATGTTTTTTCCATAAGTTTTAGTTAACATCAGCAGTGGGATAAAGTGTGTAACTGGCTCAGTAAATAGTGATAGCAATAATTACTTTTACAAATAAACTTGTTACATATCAAAATATTGAATATTTTGTAATGAATCTGAAATTTTTTTTGATTATAAGATTGTGAATAATATGCAGCAAATTAAGACATGGCAATGGAATTGTGCATTAATTAAAACTTTCTTTGGAGTTATGTTACAGACGTTTCCTTCCAATTTCAGTTAATAGCAAACACCCTGACATAAAATTAGGTGTATTTCTTTGTGCGTCTAATTTTTCCTTGTATTGCTGACAGTTTAGTTAAAAATGACACAGTTTACCTATGTACACAAGACAGGGAATTTCCATTTACAAGGAAACTGATTCTAATCTCCTGTCAATTTGCATGTTATCTGCTTGTGGCATGTGTATAATTTGCTTATTTGTCCTCTTTGTACAGACAAGGGATTCATGGGATGTTTCCCCTACACTTAGCTGTGCTCTATGGGTCCTCTGACTGTTGTCGTAAACTACTTTCCTCAGGTACACACCCTTTCTCCCTGTAAAGTGACCAATTACAGCAAGGGCCAAAGGAAAATGGTTTTGTCCCTAGACTATATTCTATATGTCCTTGTCCCTTAGGGAAGTGCTGTGATTGTAAAATATGTTACTAAATAGTTGTCATATTTATCTACATGTTACTTCAAAAAATGTCATGATAATCCCATGGTGCTTTATTAGTGATAGATTGAAGTCTTAAAGCAGTCCATTAACTGCTTTTCATATGACTGATTTGCTGCCTGCCAAAGTGACAGTGTATTCCTCTAACTAACTTTGCATTGACTTTTTCAGGTCAGCTCTACAGCATTGTGTTGTCAATGAGTAAAGAACACGTGCTCTCAGCCGGATTTGACATCAACACCCCTGACAACTTTGGGAGGACCTGTCTACACGCTGCTGCCTCTGGAGGGTGAGACTGCAGCTCTACTTAGAATGGGCTATTTAAAAAGCCACTGGCCCACTTTATATCAAGTGTCCCCAATAACAGTGTTTTATGCGCACAAATGCCAAGAAGGTCGTTTTGCTGATCTGACTCGAACAGCCAGCATCTAAACGAAATTGAAGAAGATGTTTAAAATATTTATTAATGCATATACTTTATTCTCTTCATTCAGAAATGTTGAATGTCTTAACCTGCTCTTAAGCAGTGGAGCTGACATGAATAAGAAGGACAAGTTTGGAAGGTACAAATGTTCGTTCTATGATAAAATGGAATGCCCTCAGTTTCTGACATGATCATATTTGAAGTGTGCATGATGTAAATATTCCTTATGCCAAGTAGTGATGCTCCGCAATCATTTTTTTAATCACATTTATTTAAAGGGATCATATGATGCGATTTTCAATTTTTCCTTTCTCTTTGAAGTGATAATAAGCTCTTGGTGCATGAAGAAGATCTGTAAAGTTGCAAAGAATAAAGTCTCAAATCCAAAGAGATAGTCTTTATAAAAGTTAAGAGTCAACCACGCTTACCTAAAACGGCTCGTTCTAACACACCCCCAACATGTCTACTTCACTATGTGGGAAGATTTGGATAACGCCGCCCAAATGGTCACGCAAAGAAAGAAGATGTAACTTTTATTCTCGCTGTAGTATTGTTGTTGCCACCATGTCGTGAATACGCTGTGTGTTTCGTTGTGAAAGCGAAACTACTTGCCTCCGGCCTCCGCTCACTCTAGAGCGCGCTGTGTTTCGTTGTGAAAGCGAAACGACTTTGTTTGGCCTTCCAAAAGAGGACACGACTAGAAATCAGTAGTTAAGTTGTATTTACAACACTGTTCCAGAAAAGTCCAAACCAAATATTCAGATGCGTGCAGCGCATTTTATGGAGGACTGTTTCCTGATCCTGGTAGAGTAGACTACAATGCCGGCTGTTCTGACTCAAAGACTGCATGTACATTTTTTAAATTAAAGAATTTGCCACTGACGCTCACAGTTTCGAGCAGTGTAGAGGAGCGCTTGTTGTTTGTCATTTCTCCGATCACAAATGTAGACATGGTTTTATGTTTACGCGGTGCGATGCAACGCGTAAAAAGACAGTATATGTCATTATAATCCGTAATTATGTCCCCACTGGATTCAACAAATGCCTCGTTTATAATGGGTTTTAATGTTTTTGGCTCATCGCTCTGGGACATGGCATCACAGTATGGTAAGGGGTGTAACATTTCCGTCACACGCTTGAGATATTCGGCCAATCACAATGCACTGGATAGGTGGCCAATCAGAGCACACCTCGCTTTTCAGACCGATGAGCTTTGTAAAAATCTACGTGTTTCAGAAAGGCGGGGCATAGAGGAGAAACAATGTACAGTATGTGGAAATGTGTTTTTTGAACCTTAAACCGCATAAACACATTTCATTACACCAAATACACAAAATAATGTTCTTTTTAGCAACATCATATGACCCCTTTAATCAACACTCAAATATAAAAAATTTTTTGATTTGATTTGCATATATAAACATTTACACTGTACATAAGGCAGTTTTTATATCAACTTTTTAATTATATAATTTTTTTTCAGAATTTATTTTGGCTGAATGTTTTCGGTTGCTGAAATTTTAGTGCATTCGGTGCAACTACTTCTTTTTAATATTGGATTTTGGCATGAAATATGATGGAATTTTTTTAATGAGATTTACCAGTATGTTTGGGTGTTTAAATGTCTGTGTCTCTCCACCAGGACTCCGTTGCACTATGCAGCTGCTAATGGTAGGTATCAGTGTGTGGTGGTTCTGGTAGGAGCGGGGGCGGAGGTCAATGAGCGTGACCGCTCTGGCTGTACACCTCTACACTACTCGGCTGCATCGACTGCGTTCTGCAGGTGAAATGCACTCACACATGCCCACACATCTTCTTGCATCTAATAAATATAATAGTGCATGGTGTACAAAGCATTACTGATGTCTTGTGTCTTTCTCAGAACGGACCGACCCCATGCCAGCACCCATCAGAACCAAGAGGATGGGGAGAAGGAATCCTTCCTGTAAGTCTACAACAAATATTTGTTTCTTAAAATAATTTGATGCCTGCTTTTTGTATAATTAAAGTGTTGTACCTCATGCTAGTAGCTTGTAATTATTTGAAATATATATATTTTTTTTTTTAATGGTATATTACATATGTGTCAAGTGACTGTCTGGAATGGAATCATAAGTACGATTCCACTCCAGACGGTACTGATGATAATGTCAGTTGTCCCAATAAAAACCTTGTTTATTGCTAGGGGTGTGCAGACCCCTAGTGGTTCATTAAGGTACTGCATGGTGTTTCAAACTAAGGTCTGGGAGAAAATATTATTACAAGACATTTGACAATATTACAAGATATTAGTAAAAATGAAAAACTCCACAAAAATATTAAGCAGCACAACTGTTTTCAATATTGATTATAAATATAATTTTTTCTTGAGCAGCAAATAGACATATTAGAATGATTTCTGAAGGATCATATGACATTGACGACTAGAGTAATAATAAATTGTATATTAAAATAGAAAACCATTATTAATTATATTTCACAAATTACTGTTTTGAAATGGTGACTTGGTGAGCATAAGAATAATGTTTCTTTTAAAAACAATCTTTTTAAAAAAAATCTTACAGACCCCAAACTTTTGAATGTTATGTAAACTAAGAAGAAAGATGTTTTGATTTATTACAGCTTATAATTTCAGTCTTTGAATCCCAGGTGTTTTGATACTTTCAGGTGTGTGGAGCATTTGTTGGATAATGGTGCTGATCCATCTCTGTGCAACACTAAAGGATACAGTGCTGTGCATTATGCTGCAGCCCATGGCAACAAACAAAACCTGGAGCTGGTGAGATTGACCTTTCACTCTAACGTAGTCCACTGTGATTTATAACCTCATTTTATTAGTGTAAAACTTGATGCATGCTTCATATACATATTTTGTTCTTGATTCTGTAGCTTTTGGAGATGTGCTTCAACACACTAGGAGACAAGGAGAACAACGGGTCCGTCAGCCCACTACACTTGGCGGTATGTACAAAATGTCAAGACATAAAAATAGGGATGTTCATTTTGGTTATTTTTCCTAACCGACAACTGACGCTCGTTAACCGATTGTTAACCGACAAGATTATTTTAAATTAGAAAGGATAAGTGTCTGTGACCTGTTAAAAAATACTAACATTTGTTTCACGGGGATTAATTTTACATGCGCAAAAAGCAGCAAACAACAGAACATGAGGATTCACATGGTCGTATCATATCACATCACGCACCTGCAGCGCTTCTTAGAGCGGAGAAAAACATAAAGCTAGGCTCTATATATATATCTATATCTATCTTTAGGACTAAAAGGAGTAGTTGCTTCCACTGTTAGAAAGAAAAAATTCAAGTGATTGTGCCGGCGCCGCATGCGCACGCAGTTAAGCTTTGCTTGACAAAGCAGCCTGTTCATTATCATAATAAAATACAGTCAGTCAAACGTATGGAGAAAAAAAACTATGTAGTAAAATTTTTTTTAGTAAAATCTGTGCCATTAATGCCGAGTTCACACTGCAGGATTTTCAAAGACGTCGCATCACTGTTGGTTTCACACTGAACGACTATCTGGGGTAGCATTCAGTTGTTGCTGTGTTCACACTGCACAATGGAACGACGACAGGAGCACACTGCATGACTTTACAATAGGAAGAATCGCCAACAGCTCTGTCTGGTGCAGGGTTGCCAGGTTTTCACTAAAAAAACCTGCACAATTACTACTCAAAACTAGCCTGAAAATAGCCCAATTGCTTTCAAGGGGTCCCCCAGTAAAAATCGTGTTCGGGGGGGGTAAAATACAAATTTTTTTGGCGGGGTTCTAAATATCAAGTTATTGGGGTCGCTTCAACCTGCTGACATAAAAAAACAACCGGCGACAATCTCGGATTTGGCAACACTGGTCCGCAAACTACGTTTCATATAACTCCTCCCCGAACTTCCCGCTGCCCTGTATCTTGGTCTCTCATTGGCTGTAGGTCATCGCCGATGTGTTTTTCAGTCAGAACTCATTTCACACAGCGTGATTGTGAATCGCAGACAGCTCCAGATATTTAGCATGCCAAATATTTCACGGGCGGTGGCGACGTGTCGGCGGTTCCCTCAGATCGCGTCTTTGATCCTTAACACTGCGTGATTGTCACTCGTGTGAACGAGCACCGATTTGCCTTCGATTTCGGGCATTTGTCTGCGATTTCACAAAACCTGTCGGCGAGTGAAAAATCGGGCTAAAATGGTGCAGTGTGAACTCGGCATAAGTGTTATCACAGTAGGCCTACCGACGGGATGTTATGCAAAACATTTTGTTTAACATGGATATTGGAACGCGAGTGAAGTACATAATAAATAATAATTTGCCATTCAAATACATGGCGAATACGGAAACATTTGATTTTGTGTGGAATGAGAGACCCAACGTTGGTTTCAGTTTCATTTTAGCCTAAATGAATTCGTAACTAAATAATTAAATGACTTTTTAAACCGTTTAACTGATTGTATTAATCGGTCAAAATTCTTACGGTCGGTTAACTGGTTAAATGTATTCTCCATACATAAAAATCAGCAGCTATATACATCAGCAGATATTCTGTAATTCTGCATATGTAATGATATATAATGAGCTAATATTAACGGAAATGACTTTTGCTGTCAGGTGGAGTCCGGTCACTGGGAATGTGTCACCGTGTTAATTGAGTCTGGAGGGTATGTGGATGCCTGTGACCCGGTGGGGCGCTCTGTGCTGTACGTAGCCTCTCAAAAAGGACATGCCCGCTGCGTAGAGCTGCTGCTCTGCCAATCAGCATCTTGCCTGCTCATAGAGCACCGCAGCAAATGGGGCCCTCTTCATGTTGCAGGTACATAGAGCATGTATGTGCAAATTGGCTTGTGAATCTGATATTTCTGTGGGAGTTTGATAAGTTGCTGTGTGTTCTTTGTTGACAGCTGCCAATGGCCACTCAGAATGTCTGCGGATGCTGCTCTGTAGCGAGGGGGGAGCCGATCTCGATAATGTTAAAGACGCAGAGGGACAGTATGTATGAGCTGATGGCTCTTCTACTTTCTTTATTTTCTGCTTTTTATTGTTTTGCTCATATTCACAGCATTTGTTACTAATAAATAAGGTAACACAAGACAAGTAATGCATCTTGCATAATCTGATTACAAGTCATCCAATCACAGTTGTTTGATATCATTCTCTAGTTTCCCTCTCTCTCTTCATAGGACTCCACTAATGCTGGCAGTGCTGGGGGGACACACTGACTGTGTGCATCTGCTGCTGGAGAGAGGAGCTTGCCCTGATATAAGAGACAGGAGAGGAAGAACAGCCTTACACAGAGGGGTGAGATTCTGAAATCATTAGTAAAGTTTTTGCTATAAACTCCTATTAATGGAAGGTTTCTAACCAGGTCTGTCTTTGTAGGCGGTGATGGGTCGGGAGGACTGTATAACCGCCCTGCTGTCCCACAACGTCTCAGTCCTCAGCAAAGATTTTCAGGGGCGAACTGCGGTCCATCTGGCTGCCTCTTGCGGCCATGCTGACATTCTCTCCAATCTTCTTTCTGCTGCTGACCACTCCCACCCCCACGACCCAATCACAGACCGCCACGGCTACACACCCACACACTGGGCAGCCTATCACGGTAAGGGCTCAGACCTTTTGAGCCTCAATGGCTCGTTCACATTGATAAAACTGTCATAAGTTAAATGGGTGACTTGCACTATTTGTGAAACAGGTCATGAAGACTGTTTGGAAGTTTTACTTGAACTTAAACCATGTAGTATCCAGGAGGGAAACCCCTTCACCCCACTGCACTGTGCTCTGTGAGTGTTTTTTTTTTTCCTTCAGATTCAAGGGTGATGTAATTATATTTAATGTTGAAATAATTCCTGAGAAAGTAGAAACTGAACTGAAAAAGTCAGACAAATTAATAAAATGTCAAAAAGTCATGGAAATGCCTGTTATAAATAATTCTAGTTATCCACTCTTATTGAATATAAGAGGCAATAATGGTGTATAAAAATGCTCTCTATTTTTAAAATCAGTTCTACCCCAATGTGCACAACCATTTAAAAGTGTGGGGATGGTAAGATTAAAAACAAACAAACAAAAAACAGTTAAAGGGATCCTATTATGCTCTTTTACAAAGTCTTGATTTCGTTTTGGGGGTGAACTAGAACAGGCTCTCATACTAGGTTGTTGGAAAAACACATTATTTTTCACATATTTTACATTATTACAACACCTCTCTCCTCAGTCTGGCATGAACGGCTCGAATAGTTCCTGTATCAAATGAAGGCCCGCCTTCTGAAATACAAAATGTGCTGTGATTGGTTAGCTGGGCCAGTGTGTGCTGTGATTGGTTAGCTGGGCCAGTGTGTGCTGTGATTGGCAGCACTCGGCACCTGGTCGGGAAATGTCATGCCCCTTACCATAGCCACCTGCGAGCTTCAGTGTAAATATCGAGTCAAAATCAAATCAATTTGAATTAAATAAAATATCTCCTTTTGAATTGGACTTTGAGCTTTGTAACTTAGCAGATCCTTTTTTTTTATGCTCAAACATTACAGACTAACTTAACGTTGAAAAAGTGAAAAAGCATAATAGGACCCCTTTAATACTTGTATGTGGTAAAGATGCATTAAAATTAACAAAGACTTTTGCATTGTTCAAAAAAATAAATAATTCAGTTCTTTTGAACTTCCTATTTATCAAAATAATCTTGAAAAAAAGTCTAACTGTTTCCACAAAAATATTACGCAGCACAACTATTTTCAACATTGATAATAATAAATGTTTCTTAAGCACCAAAGCAGTATATTAGAATTAGCAGTTTAAATATATATTTGCATTTATCATGATTTTATTAATTTTATTATATTATATTAGCGTTTTTAAATATATAAAGTAAACTGTTTAATTGTAATATTTTACAATATTACTGTTTTACAAGTTTTTTTTTTTTTTTTTTATCAAATAAATGCATCCTTGGTGACTTTTTTTCAAAAAAAACATTTAAAAAAATCTTACCCACCCCCATACTTTTGAACGGTAGTGTATTTGGATACTTGTTTGAATAAATTTATTTTTATAGCCACCAAAATTAGCCATTGCATCATATTGTATCTTTTCTACATAGTAAACACATGTGAAGTTTTTGTGATGTGAAAGATATTTAAATAAAACTATATCGAATAATTTATGGAATATGTTTCCTAATTGCCATGTTGCATGTTCTCAACGTCCCATTGCAGCATTAATGGCCATAGTGGTTCTGCAGAGCTGCTGTTGGAATCCAGTGTTTGTAATTCGCTGGTAAACATCAGGGATGCCAAAGGAAGGTTGGTGCAAGTAGTTATTAAAATACAATTGTTGTATATTAGCTGTTAAATAGTTACAAATTGAAAACCAATACATAATTTTATCTGCTAGCTAAATGACTATGTTCTGACATCTTGCACTCAGGACCCCACTTCACGCGTCTGCAGTTGCCGAGGACGTGGCTGGGCTGCAGCTGGTTCTGCGGCACGGAGCTGACATCAACGCCGTGGACCACTCAGGGCGTTCTGCACTGATGGTGGCCGCCGACAATGGCCAAAGTGGTGCTGTGGGTAAGAGTTGCACCATGTGTGATATAAGTAATCTGAGACTGAAACCCTCAGACTTTGTAAAATGTGAATATAGAGTGTTTAATAGTAATTTTAGATTTTTTTTTTGTTATTGGTTTATGCAGCCCTGCTGCTGCACAGAGCCAAAGCTGACCTGTCCCTCCTGGATGTGAACAAGAACACTGCCCTGCACCTGGCCTGCAGCAAGGTAACAGACAGCGTTTTATTTAAACTTAATGCTGATTATCTCTTGATCAGATTTCTCAAATGTTGTGCATATTGCTAACTGTGTTTGAAGGCTCATGAAATGTGTGCCATGCTGATCTTGAAGGAGATCCACAACCCTATCCTCATAAATGCAACCAACAGTATGCTTCAGATGTGAGTCCTAGTCTTTGTCCTAGTTTGCACGTACAACTATAAGTAAGCCATTATTCATGGCTCTGTAGCAATATCATAACATTGCTCTTTTTTGAGCATCCTGACTAGCTTGAAACATTTGCTTGATTTATCTTTGTGGCACAGAAGCTACACACTTCACATGTAACTCAATCAAAATAAACTGGACAAACGTTTTAAAATCATTCTCGACTTCTCGACATTTTCTGATATTTCAGGCCCCTCCACATTGCCGCCAGAAATGGTTTGGCTACCGTGGTTCAGGCCTTGCTGAACCGTGGAGCCACAGTGCTGGCAGTGGATGAGGAAGGTAAGACAGGCATTGGTGCAGTTTTTCTAAGTGTATTTGCAATACAATACAGACAAATTCATGTTTTGCATTTTTGGGCAAAGTTTGTTTTGAGTTGCTCACAGCAGCAATGACAACATGGACAGGTACAAGGACTAATATTAAGTGTAAAAAGTGAATTGTGAAATTGTTTCCATGGAATAATGATTAGAAATGCTATATTAATACTGATGAAGGTAGCATACTTGTAACAAACTTTACACATGCAATTTACTGAACATGGCAATTAGATTGGCCAGATAAGCCTGAGTGATTTTATTTATATATATATATATATATATATAAGCGTATTTTCCGTAAATATTTTCTGGACCTGTTGGACCGGGTGAAAATTGCATTTAGACAATAAAATGTGATTTATACGCCAATACAACTGATGTGATTTTTTTTTAAAATTACATATACGTTAATAAAACAATTACAAAAACAAACAAAATATAAACACTACGGTTGTATTTTAGTTCCCTTTACTCCACAGTACGGTAAACAGAACATAGAACATTTTAAGTTATGATGACATTCATTATAAACAACATTTATTATAAACACCAAGCCTAAACCTATTTAAAGTGAAACTGAATTACCGGCATGTGGGAAATAAACTTGATGTTCTTGCCTATCAAGTACAAACGGTGTTGAAGTTGAAACTAGGGAGAGATAAAAACTGAAACCCAAGAGATAAAACATTTATAATTCGGCAACAACTGACAACAATTTACCCTCATTTACGAAGAAAAAAAAGGCAATTTTCTGCTAGGAAGACAGAGGGTGAGACGTGTGAGGCTTGGTTGACGTCATTTTAGTTTGATGAGTAGGCTGCGATGTCAAGTTAGCCATGCGAGAACTGATATATTGTGTGTGCTTGATGTTATTTGCATGAAATAAGTCACTTTGGAATATGAATCACAGCACATTTCAGATGTTAAAAACAAAAGGGACTTATATTCTGGAAAATACGGTATATTAGCATAGTGTCCCATCTTAACAACTGCTTCATAAATCACGTAACTGATGTATTTGAATGAGTTTCTCCTTGGCTAAGATGTCTCTGTTGTGTTTTTGTCATGTCACAGGTCATACGCCAGCCCTGGCTTGCGCATCCAATAAAGCTGTTGCCGACTGCCTAGCTCTCATTCTGTCAACCATGAAGCCTTCCTCCTCCACGCCCTCTTCATCCTCACCGTCTTCTCCCAGCCTCAACTTGCTCAAGCACTGTGGCATCACCGCCGCCTGTCCCCCCCTGCCCAATGGAGGCCTTCGCCATGGTTACGGCAAAGATCGCCATGGTGCTACTATCGGCTTGGATGGCTACTTGACAGAGTGAGGCGTTCTTACTCGTAAAAAAAATAAAAATAAACGTGTGGTCACTCGGTTTGGTCCTCTCTACACATCTAGATAAATCTATATGCAATTACAGCCACACATCCCTCCTGTGCCAGTATCAAAGCTTTTCTTCACATTTCAATAGAGAGCGAACACGAGAGGACGAACTTAGCTATTTATTTCTATTTATTTTCCCCCACTTTCCTTTTCCTCCCACCTCCTGACTCCCATTTTAGATGCTGTCCATTCAGTATGAGTCTAAAATCTAAAATCTGAATCTAAGCCATCTATTCGAACCAGTATGAATCACTGGCGAGTCAGTCCTTTATTTCTTCTCCATTTGCAGTCGATTTGACTCGGTTCATGTTAGAATTATGCAGCTGTGTGTCTCCATGGTAACAGTGATAATGGATGGGTTTCCATATCATGCCTCCTATTTGTGTGACGCTGTGGCCTTGCATAGGAATTTACAGCCTGCCCTGAGGAACAATTTAAACGGGTTACACTAGATTTGCATGAATTTGCGGGACCATGTATTTGATAGTGGTCTTGTGTGTGTGTGTGTGTGTGCGCGTGTGCGTGCTTGCACGTGTATGTGTGACATCCACTTTTGCGCAACAGTCAAAGTTTTTCATCCCATACTTGATTATTACGTTTTGAGGTTTTTATGTGAGGTGCAATCTGATTTAGCACAGATCAGGAAAAAACAAACAACCTAACAGAATCATATTGATAGAAGGGAAACCATACTACCTTAAGCCAAAAGACCAATGACCTCCTGATAGAGGGGTCTGATATGTAATGCTTGTTTACTTGTTAGAGAGAAAAGGGATAGTGTTTGGATGGGTTTTGAGGTTGAAAATTCATATTAGGTTTACAATGGAGGTATTAGGTAGTCCAGATCACTGTTTGTAGGTGGACAGAAGAAAGAGGAGTTACAAGTGTCATGATTTTGGCCGTTTAAAAAACATTATGAAGATGCTACATTAAGGAAGTATAGAAAGCACAAACGTCATACACAGTACTTGCTCCTTGGGACCTTCGGTTTTATTTATTTTGGTTGGTTTTATTTTTTGTTCTAGGGCCTCATAAAATATCTTCAATTAAATCTACTGCTTTGCTATAATATTAAGTGTGGAGTTGCTTTCACAGTGCCTACTGAATTTAGTTTTGCCTACCTAGGATCCAATCAGTTAAACACCATATGCACTCCCTTAAAGTCGTTGTGAAACAAGGGTTAAGTATTTCACTAAACCCATCATGAATTGATTACCTGAATGAATGAACGTATGATTCATATAGACTTTGGGGAGTATATATGTCAAGTTTGCAAAACTGAAGTGTTCAGGCTGATTGGAGCTTTTTTACATTTGTTTATAGGGAGCAGTCATGGGTATGACCAAAGCCGAGCGATTTCTAAATACCATTTTAATAGGAACTAATAGATATCCAAGAAATATCTTTTCAATTTAAGTACTGAAATAACATTCACCCCTACTCTTTTTAAAATGCTTCCTTATTGCCAAAGGTAGATTAATTAACAAAGTTAAGATTGTGCTTCCATTAGGTTTTTTGCACCTAAACACAAAATAAGAACATTGTCAATGAGTGTTTGAAACATCCCTTTTTTTGTTTGTGCACCACAAACAGGCAATATATGCTCAGTCAGTAATGAGACAATCAGTTGAAAGGGCTTTTAATTTTGCCATAGATTTCTTTTTTCCTAAACAAGCAAAAGCGTTTTTCCCAATTAGGAAGAGCTATATAAATCTCTGTCCCTTAATTCAAGACATCTAAGAATTAATGCATACTTCAGGCGTGAAATGTGGATTTGTTCTCAATTATACCAATACTGTTGCTTTCATTGCCGTGTATCAGGATTTTAGTGATGTAGATAGAGCAGCTTTGAAGTGTTGTAACATTAACTGATATTTTATTGGTGGTTGAAGGTGTGTAGACAAATGAAACGGTAACATTAGATGTTTTAAGGCTGTGTGGAGAGCATATTTATACTGATTTATGAAATGACCTCTTCGTCTTTGTAATGACAAGTTTTGGCTGCTTAAACAAGTTTCTCCACTCCACGCAGACCTGATATAAAGCACTTGCTTGTTCAGTAACAAAAAAGGATGAAAAAAATATGCTTTTGCATCTATCATAAGCTGTAAATGGGCAAATATCTGAACTCTAATTGCAAGTGTGCATGTGTGCAAATCAGATTAGTCAAGTTATATCTTGAAAAATTTCTAAATGGGCTACATGACTAAGAGGAAGTCCCTCATGGGAGTTTAATTCAAGCTTATTTACCTGTACTTGAGCTTGACTTTTTCACGTACAATAACTTTTGCTGAATAATACAGTTTGGTGGAGGGAATTAGTGCGTGTCTAGACAGCACAGGGTACGATAATGAAGTGCAAGTTGATGAGCTTGAAGTTATTTGCACTGCCAGTTATACTGCTTGTAGTTGTACAAAAAAATATATTTATAAATTTAGTCTAGCTAGTCTTACCACAAGTAGTCGAGTTCGAAAAACAAGTGCCCGTGGAGCCTGTGATTAGTAATACATTTCATTTTTGTGCAAGAAAAAGTGCTGCTTTCAATTGTATCTTGGAGCTAATTTTTTTTAGAGGAGATCTTTGTCTATTTATTAGCAAAAATAATTCTTATCCAGCCAAAACAAACTAAAACGTATTTGTTTTAATTCCTCAAATTTCTAATCATTTTATTGGCATTGCACTAAAATTGTTGAATTGTTTTGTCGAATGTATGCCATGATGGTAGTAGCTTGCTTCGATGTTGGTGAAAATCTTGAATGCTGTAGTTAGCGATTAAATAATTAGCTTGGCAACAGGAACTTTGGAACTGAAGCCTTTCAGAACTTAATAGACTGAATTTGTGCATTAGGTGTTCTGTGTACAAACAATACGAGAACCGATCACAAAGTGGCCAGACTTTTTTTCTTTTATTGGAGTAAAGTACAACTGGTAAGGGGAGTTTTCTCCCTAAAATCATTTAGTGCCATAACTTTTTTTTATTTTATTTTTCCTTTCTCATTTTGAGATGTTTGTAAAAATGTGAATGAATGATTCCTTGGGTTCAGTTTTTGAGTGTGCGTCAAGACCATTACCAAAAGAAAAAAGACGAACGAAGTCCAAGCTAACATAAGCTACTGTGCCCATTATATTTTTTGGCGATCCACATAGTGTGTTAATTATTGTAAAATGCCAGTACGTTCACAATCAGACTGTCTAAAAATGCAAGTATATTCGTAACTAAGCTATACTGATGGGCTGGTTAGCCCTTGGTGGAGCTCACCTCCATCTGAAAGCTTTCATGGCTAAGCCATAACTTAGCATTTGCCCTTATAAATTGAGTAGCCTGATTTGAGTCATTCAGTCAACGGCTCCTTCAAAAACCATATTTTAAAATGTTCAATTGTAATCGATAGTTCCCACAAACCACTGATAATTTGAGGTTTATTTCAAAGCAATGGAATTATGAAACGCCTTAATTTCATCATTAACCGAAGGGCAAATTTGACACTTACCAAAATGACACATTTACATAGCTGTTCTTGTTTTATTCTGGATCAGCAAATTGTGCAGTTTAAAGAGCTTGTTTTTGTTGGAAAGCAGATTAATTGTAGCTAACTCAGTGTCCTTATTTTATGTTCATCCTTGCATTTTTGTATTCAATTTTTTTTTTTCTCGCAAAGGTATTAACGGCTGATAGAATGTCTGATTTACCTCAGTGGACCTCAGCGTCCTTACTACTTGAAGACACATCCATTTAAGGCAATACTCAAAACACCCGTTTCATTTAACCTATGTCTGTCTCCCAACTTTTTGCCTTAAGAGGAAATGGTATAGTTCAGCAATCGCAGCACTTGAGAGATTTTGTCGTTAACCTGGGATCTCGTTCCGATGAAATTCATAAGAAGCACACTGTTCTATAGGTTGTTTTGCTGAAAGATGTACCATAATGGCTTCTGGCCTCAAAATAATAATTTTCATGGAATTTATTAGGAGTTTTTGCACTAGAACATAAAAAAAATTGTGTCATTTTGTTTAATACATATGTCAAATATTTAGCTGTAAAATTTATTTGGAATCGTTAATATTTGACCAACTCATTCTCCTAAATAAAACATCAAAAGCACTGATTTTCACTATTGAATATGACTTATAAAAACATTAATTTTCAGAATAAAACAAATCAATATTGGTAGTGAATGGTAAAAGATTTGGGAATACATCTAAGAAAAAAGTATGTATTATCCAATGATTAATTTCATTTTATACAAGGCGGAGTAGATGCATTTTCTCCCCATTTTTCGATGTCTTGGTTAAAGCATTTAGGTAGTAAATACTTGTGTGATGTTATAAATACAAATATTTCTAACAACGTAAATAACAAGAGCACAAGATGATGTGCTGTACATAATTCCTCAAGAAGTGTGGTCAGATTTGCCTTGACGTGGCAGTCTTACCTCATGAACTAGCTATCTAGTGCTATATGTACTGGTACATCAAATTTGGGTGGGCTTTTAGCAACGCATGCTCCATGCAGTTGGAACCCTAAGGTCACGGTCCGAGGCCTTGAAATGGAAAACATTGGAGTTTTTAAGGGGTGCTCTTAAACTTGATGATGTCCTTCACCCTGGCTTAGTGTTACTTCATGTTTCTACTCGGTAAGCGCTAATAGTTCAAATTGTAAATCTGCAAGCGAATGATCTAATCAAAAATAGCTGCTTTTTGTTGTTCTTGCCAGCAGCTTGTTTCCATAAGGCTATTTAGAAGACCACCGGAGCCTGACTGAATGGCTGATCTGACAGGGCACGTAGGGATCCCTTTAAAAAACAATTTCATATATAAAAAAAAAAAGAAAGAGCTATGCAGGAATACTTTTTTTATTTTTTTATTTTTTTTTAAATCTCACAGAGTTGCGTAGTGCCACCAGAGATATCCCAAAAGCTTCATTGACCGATCACGGACCTTCAGAAGTTCATCTGTAAATCTAACACTGACCTTACTTGCTTGTTGGCTTTGGTTGAGAAAATGACTGCTTAGCGTGGCATGCTGCTATTTCTTTGGAGTCTGTAAGCATCTTCATCATCTCTTTAAGGTACTACACTTTGTGACGAGTATGTGGGATTGTGCCTTTTGTTATCAAGTACATGCCACAGGGTATGGTCTTCCATTAACACCTTTAGTGAGCCTTATGAATGAACAACTGTTGTAAGTTTCAGAAATAGCCACCATCCATGTGGTTGCGTTTTGAGCCGTCAAAAATCGCGAACGAATTTCTCACGACACCGCAGATGAATAAATAACCTTTGTAAGTTAAATTAAACCATAACGGCGAAAATTTGATCGGTTCTAGCTAGTGGCCTGTTCAAACTCTGTATGGGAAAAAACGTGTTTAGTTTTACAATGTGTGAACTCTTTAGTGAAGTAGATGTGTGCCGTGTCGTTTTTTGTGTGGTAATGCATTGGAGATTAGTTGTAACCCAGTGTCTTGTAGAATGTTGGCATGACTCCTTTTCTCTATGTTGTATTGATGTCAAAGTATCCACCTGAAATGGACTGAAGTGCAATAACTTTTTTGTGCGCCATAGTATCCTTAATGGAGGAAAATGCCCTTTTTTTTTTTTAAGCAGGGTATTTTATTTGTTATTTTATTTGGATTGTACAAATTTGAATTCCTTCCTGTTTTGCCTCTATAAGTGGCACTTTCTTGTGGAATGTACAATGGACTTGGTGGAAACTGTGATAGGTGTCAAAGCCTTATCAATACTTCTTGCTTACTGGAAAGATGGCATTTCTGTTTGCTCATCGGTTGATTGGTCAGAGAGTGCCGTTTTTGATGTACCTTCTCCAGTGCCACGTAAAGTCAGTGTCTGCTTTCGTGGCATGTTAAGCATTTGTTTGTGTGTGTGTGTGTTGGGGGTGTTTAGACCTGTTCATTTACCTCTAATCAATTGATTTGATACCAAAAGCGAAGCACATTGCCTAGAATTACAGTTCTTTTTTTGCATTAGAGATGTGATAGTTCTATTTGGGAATGGTATCTTGAATGTTGTTGTCACCAGGGAAATATGCAGGGTTTGATTTCTCCCCACACAACATTTGAACTTTGGGCCATATGTTATGCGGTACCAAAGAATGTTTCATTGATGATTATTTGATCAGATTTTTATTTATTTTTTGGTCAGACATCAAGATCCCAATATTTGTCATTTAATGTCTTCACAAGTTTTGAAAAATAAAAAAAGGAACCTGTACCATGAAGAAACATTCCTTTGAATTTCATTGTACAAAACCGAAATACCACTGACAACCAATACCAGAAGTCCTATAATAATCTTCAGAATACCTTAAGTTGTAACTTACTTTTAAGGTCCTTCATTTTGGCTTTAAGCAATCAATGATTTCATATTTGATATCACAGGGAGCACACTGAATAAAGTAATCTAGTATTTCACAACATAGGACCAATGTATGTCTCTGTAGAGATGGCCACTTGATTTCATTCAAGAACAAGCAATACAAGTATCAGGAGACAATTGTAAATTTCTAAAGATTTGTTGGCTCTGGCTGCTTTTGGCCTGGCTATGTAATCTGTGGCACCTTAGTGTAACCCTCTTCGTGTAACTGAATCCAACATAAGAGATTTCAGTGCTGAGAGAGCCTTATTTCAGTCAAACTGAATGTGAATTGGATGTGTGCAGGATTTGGCCATTTCGAAGCGACTGGCTTTAATCAAGCGGACCTCCTGAGTCCCATGTTTGAATCCAGTTTCACTAGGACCCGCCGTCTTTAAGACTTTCCAAAAGATTGCTGTTACAAAAAAAAGCAAAAATACTACACAGTGGCTATGTTTCCATCGCCAAAACGCCTAAATACAGGGTTACTGTCACTGCTTCCAAGCTCTGCTTGAACATGCCAAGTATTTGAAACGCATTACAACGAGAAAGAAATGTGACCCTGACTTAAAAAAAAAAAAAAAAAGCCACAAGACTGCACTATTTACTTGAGTATTGAACTCCAAGCCGTTCTCTGCTAATTGTTTTGACAGTGGAAACATAGTGAGCGATCGTGTAGGGCAGCGCCCAGTGTGTATGTGTTGTGTGTGCAAGTGTGACGAACAGGGGTCATATCAACCCTGTATACCTCATCGACATATCTGCAAATATTCTTATCCTGTCTTTAAGTTGAACGTGTAAGAGATACCATCACCAGCAGAAGCCTGAGATCATTGCAGGGTCTACGACATCACACCAATCCCGTATCAACCAATAAGATCACCACTTGCTTGCGTAAAAATCCTACCGCTCCGCTTCAAGCCTGACCCATCGCTGACACAATGGTTTAGATTTAGCGAAACGTAAGGCATTTTAAGTAGCATTATCCTACCTCTGTGTTACAGCTTGTTGCATCAAAAACTCCACCAATTGTTGACAAATGGAAATATATATGTATATGGAACAGATATATAACTTATAACCAACAATCGGTGATATAAGACAACAGTTAGCGTACTTGACTGTGTTGTCTGTCTGTGTGTAACATGATATTTGTTAGTGTATATACACAACAGAGTACCACTGGAATGTGAAGCCAGACTGTATTATGATTTTTTTTTTTTTTTTATTCAAATCCAACTTTCTCCCCATTATATTTCAAATGATGTCATATGTGTCTTGCCTCTATCGCTCCTTTTAATGTTTTTTTTTTTTTGCTTTATTTTGAAGAAACAGGGAAAAATATCAGCCTATACTAGCTGGCGTTTACATTCGTGCTCTTTTTATTTTTATTTTTTTTTTCTCTCTCTCCGTTTCTTTGTCTCTTTCACTTTCTCTCACTTCTAAATGTTCACTGTGAGCGCTCTGAACTCAAGTTTACAGCTCTTCATGGTATGTACGTGTATCTGGTCGAGTTCAGTAGAGTGCGTGGATGGTTGTATGACTTTGGTACTGAAGCAACAACTCTATTTTCTACTGGTGGTGGGGGTTTGAAAGGGGGTTGGTTGAGGTTTGAGTTATGCACATTCATTCTGTACTAAAATATGGGGTATGTAGAGTTCCCTAGCCTTACGCCCTTCCAAAAACACTACGCCGGTCACTGACTAATCTGCGTTAGCTATCCACCACCCTGCCAACTTTGTACCTTTATACATATCCATTTTGGACCTGGGGGCACGGGGCGAATTCGGTGGATTCTGCCTGAATCTGTCAGGACGGTCACGTGACCCCTCCTAGACCTGAGGAAGGAGAACCCTCACCCTTTCAACCCCACAAAAAGACCTCAAGCCATTCATTTCTTTGTGACAATGCAATCCTGAAAGCACTTTGCCTTGTTAATTCATAGTATGAGCTTGTGAATGGTTACTTGTTACTAACAGATGTGAAACTCTGTACATGTATTTAAGTAAGAAAGAACATAATCATTTTTAATTTGAGCTTATTAAAAATGAATTGGTCTCTGACTTTAAAGACAAAAAAAATCCCATATGTTTTTGTTTAGTCAGGTTCATTAACTGCTGCAGCCAGTAGGTCTTGTCATTCAGTATCGTGGCTTAGAATTGGTAATGTTGAAATAAAATGCTATTGCTACATATAAGTTGTTGTTGTGTGTCTTCTGTTGTGCTGAACACTACAGAATGTCAGCATGTTGTAACAGACCAAAATGTACATTTCACATCATATAGGAATTTTAACTTAGGATTTTTAAACTGCTCTGGTGACAGAAATAAGCATCCGTATATGACAGTCAGGAAGATATATTTTTCATTTAACACAGGTTTTTATGTAGAACAATTAGATTTTTCTTTTTGTAAAATGTTGTTTTGCAGTGATTTGCTTGAAATTCAGATTTTAAATAATATGAAATTATAACTAATATAAAATTACGGCCAACAGCCTTAACTTAATGATGGCTATAAATTAATGAACGGCTTTTGCTAGAAACCATAACATTATGGTTATTGTAAAGATTGTTCATTTTTATCATTTTAACAACAACCATGTTTAATACATCATTAAAAAGCAAGCTACAAGACATAGAAATATTTATATGATAAATTAAAGACATACTGACAACACAGCATTCAACTCAAAGGGCAGAAAGTCTTTCATCAGACCATTGTTATAGCTGAGCCCTGGAATTTTCTGTAGACGTCATCATTCAGTAAGAAGTTGTTACACCCCCCCCCCCCCCCCC